TCAAATCACATGAAGAGGGGTTGCAGAAGGTGTCATGTTTTCAAAGTTGGTCTAGCCAAGAAGTGTCTCAGTATGGATATCCTAAGTTCAACATTAAGGGTGGAACACAGAAAGGCATGGAAAAATCTGCTCTTGCATAACACATTGAATTTAGAGAAATGCAGAGCTCCTGGCTGTGCTAAGCATCACTTTAAAAGCATGTTGTGAAGATAGGTAGCTCCCTCCTCACAAGTGTGATTATCTCCACTCAATTCATGCAGATGTTTGATCAGGAAAACAGTTGTGAGAATCAAGATGGATAGTTTGCATCAGCCATATAAACTTTCACCATTTGTACTACAGTATTTAGTTTTCAGTTCACTTAAACAGTATTTTAGAACTGATCAAAATTAGTATCAAGCTTAACAGTAATTTGTGGCTTACACAGAAATGCAAGTTTATTCTTGCATTCCTCCACAATTTTGCCCTTCCTTACAACTCCTCACATTCACTTAAAATATGTAACCAGATTCATTGGTCCTAGTGAAGGGTTTTTAAGTGAACTCTTTGCACAAGAAGTTCCAGTTCATCCATGAGAGAATTTGCTTTTTTGCTTTTCTTAAAGCATAACTTCTTTAGAAGACTTAAAATTCAAGGTTTCCCTTCAGCGAATACACACATACACACAAAAAAAACCCCCTCAAACAAAAACCACAAACCAAAATATTAGAAGAGACTCCATGCTTGTTGTTTCCAATTTTTGGAAAAATAGCAATTGTTGCTCTGCAAGAAAATTTCTCACTGTTCTGTAGAATGCTAAGACTAACAAAATACTACCACAACAGTAAGGAACCCCCACACAAGAATCCTGTAATACCAACTAACACTTGTTACTGCTTTAAAATATAAAAATTAATTTATTTCTCTGGTATTAATGTCTCACTCATTCTTCTTCCCCAACAGAGTGCATTCCAACAGTCTAAATGGCTCAACTGACAATACATGGGAAAACTCCTTACACATAGGTGTTTCTTTAAGAACTGCCAAATCCTAATTCCTAAATAAAACAAAAGCTGGTGGTGATCACAGTGGCATGCCAGAACTGCAATCCTTTTGCTGAAGCAAGGAGAGACTCTGATGCATTCAGTTATACAATTTTTCCCTTTCATTTCACAGCTAAAAGTTTAACTTAACCATGGAGACAGTACAACACACAGCACTGCTGTGTGACTGTTTTTGCAAACCTCCAAGAAACCTATGCTTTCCTCAATAGCTTCACAAGAAATTCTCTAGGAATACTTTAAAAAAGTTTTAAAATATCAGTTTACTGAAAAATTATTTCAGCTGTGTCCTACAAGACACACCTGTGTTAACATGCAGACACTAAAGAATGACTTTGCCACAGTAAAAAGGAAAGTCTTCCCATTTTATTCACTAAATCTGCAGCTATCAAGTTCTGAGAGTCCATATCAGGTGTGCTCAGATCCCAACACAGCTCACAGAAGTACACCACTGCAACCTGCAGAGTGAATGCACATCAATGTGAAGAAACACAGATTTCAAGAAGCAGCTGTCAACTTGGCATGCTTATCTTCAGAAAACAGAAATATCTTCAAGTACTGACCAAGTTCTATTACAAGGAACAGCAAATCATTGATGAGCCTGAAAAAAGAGATACAAATCACTTCATACAGAGTCCAGCAACAGAACCTCAGCTCTGACCAAGCAACAGTGCTCCCACTGAATGCACTACAGTGAGGAGCCTGCTTCTCAATGGCTGCAAATCACACACTACAAATCGATGTTAACTGGCACCTTCACTACAAAGAAAGAAAAGACAACCCCTGGCAAAAGAATTCCTGCAATTCCTGCAATAGCATCCTTTGCTTTAGAGCCCACACAGGACCCCACAAGCACTGCCAAATCATCCTCTGTGGTCCCATATTATAGTTCTGACCTATTTTTGCTGCTGACATACGAGAGTTTTGCTCCTGTCTTGCAATGATACAATTAATTTTTACCTATGATGGCCATGCCTCTCATAGGTAGATCCTATTTAAAAATCTAAAACTGACAAATGGGGATACTACAGTCCTACAGGATTAAGGGTGATACAAAAAGCATGGAGAATGAAAGACAAGGAGGGGTAACTAAAAAGGAGGCAACTGGAAGAATTTCTGAAAAATAAGAAATCCATCTCTCTCCCTCAAACTGACTGGGAGATGAGGCACGCTGGCTGCAGGCAAGATCTGGACATTCACAGTGCTGTGGGAATTGCTCTTTTCTGCTCACAGAGGGAAGAAGAGAAAGTTGGGATCCTTCACCGGTATGAAATAAACTCCTCCAAATTCCTTATCCTTTCCCTTGCAATTCTGAATGCAATATAAAAAACACATGAAAGTCTGGACAAAGTTGTGGCACAAACTGGAAAAAAGGAAGGTAAGGAAGTCCTGCAGCTGCATGATGTGGGACATATGTAACACTAAACTATGCTGCTAAGTGGAGAATAATCCCTAACAGCTACCTCCACAAATCTCATCTCAAAGGTTTGCTGAAGATGTTATTAGGCAAGATTGTTTCGTTTTTGTCATGTGACAAGATATAAAGATGGGTAATCCCTTTAGCATTTTTTGCCTTGGGTTTTGTGGGCTTTTTTTATACCTATAAATCATTTGCAGCAGGGTAAACATCTCCTAAGGTGAGGGTAATTACCTTTAATTTTTAATACGGACTCTAAAATAATGACTTCCAATGATATGGCCAAAGGCAAATTTAGAATTACATATCCATACACTTGGGTATATATTTATATCTATTTTGTGTTTTCATACTTTTTAGGTGGAGTGTATGAATGATGTTCACACTCATTTTAAAAGTAGCCTTTTCTAATTACAAGTGGCTAAAATCTAAAACAGTTTTGAGAGCTGAATTCTGATGAATATTCTGAAGGTCAGAGCTTATTCTAAGGTTAATTTTAAAGGATCTGGCAAAAGATTATTATTTCAAAAGTACATTTGAATTCTGCTTTGCACCTGCAGTTATGGCAGAGATGGTATTTTTAAATAGATCAGCAAATGAGGTTAGATAGTATTTTTGTAACAAAAGTTCATTTTTCACAGAAATGAAATTGACCAAGTCTTTCAAAGGTGCTCACTAATGTGCAATTATTTTCTTGTACTGCTGCCTGCATCATACATTGTGAACCATGATTTCCTCTTCTATGCCAGCTGATTTGAAAGCATTTCACAGTGTCAATAAGATGCTGTACAAATTAACCCTTCATTTTACCTGTGTTACATGAAAAATAGCTACACAAAATAAAAGTACCAGATGTTTTATGTTTACTGTTAGCTCGTGTCAACTTCATCCAACAACAAGCTCTATAAAAGGAGCCTGCCAACAAGTTTACAGAGGTGGGCTGCAGACAGCAGAGTGCCTGGTTTGCACAACACTCACCTGTAATCACCACTCATAACACACTCAAAGAACGTCCTTGGAGTAAAGTATATCGGGTTAGACACCTCCAGAGGTTATTTTCCACCTGAATTCTTTCAATAACTCAAAAATGCTATTGCAAAAATCCCAAGTTCTTAATAACTGGAAAAGCTGTTATTCACAATCTCATCTCAAAGTCAGATGGTTCATCCCTCATATCAAAAGTTTACAATCAAAGTCCTGCTCTGTATCCAGTTTCTAGAGGAAAGCTGACAACATTCTAACAGTCAGCTAACCACACATCCCAGATCAAAGCTGTGCTGGCACAATGTGCAGGTAGGCTCTCAGGAAAAATTCCCAATGAAAAGCATTTACCATGGGAACTGGGACTGCTTAAGGAACCCACATGAGACTAAAAATAAAAATTAAATGCTCAGAAGCCTAATTAGGTCTTGTGAGCCCTCTTTATTACATACATACAACTTTTATAGTGCTTCCTCTAACTATTCTCCAAGTATCTTTTCACAGGAAATGAGCACCAATTATCAAGACACTCAAAAAACTGGAGTCTTTGCAGAGGTGCAGGTAACTCCCAGTAATGCCCAACTCTTGCCAATGTTGTATTACAAAAGAAATTTAAAAAACAATCAATAAAACAGGGCACTATAAAGTCTAAAGTCATTCTAGTTGCCTAGATTTACCCAAATTTTCACACTAAATGTAAGCATTACAGAGAAAATGTTTTACGCCTTGCGATTTCAAGACACATTGAAAAAATACAAGTATATGAGCCAGGTATCATAACCATCAGGAAAGAAAAGACAAATCAGTCACAGCACTGTACTCTAAGGAGCAGTGGCTGGAGAGAGCTTTAACTCCTGCCCTTGTACAGTAACACATGGCAAAGGTGACGCGACACACCCCAGTGAGCACATGGGGGATGCTTTTCAAGTACCACAGATACTTTTCCCTCCCAAGGCTCTGGATTTGCTATTTCCTAGGCCTTACGGGTAAGTTCATGCCAGTAAAGGCAAACACAATCACAAAGGATAGTCTGAGGTGGAAGGGACCAACGAGGATCATCCATTGCGCAAAAGCCTTTCATCAAATAAACTGTTTGGAAGAAAATACAGTTTGGGAGGTAAATGAATACAAGGGAGAGCTGAGCTCTGAATTCAAACCAAGAGGTTTTCCCATTCCCCTCGCTTTTCAAACTTCGCGTAAATGTATTTTTGTCATGTGGGTTCCTGTTGTTACCTAGGTACTGGTATTTTCATTGCCGCTCCATCGTCTATCCCAGGGCTCAGACCAGAGACGGGACATCACCCGCTGCAGAGACTCTGCTTACAACAAACCCGCCCTCGGTAGCAAGCAGGGAAAAGCAGGCACAGGGCAAAAAGCGAGTGAGAGTGGAAAACCTGGAGAAGTAAATTAAAAGCAGAGAAAGGAAAGGCGGAGAAGGGAAGTGGAAAAAACATCCAACATCCAACGAAAAGGAAGGAGGGCAGGAAAGGAGGGTGGGGGGCTGGCTCTTAGGCAAAACGCTTCAACCCCAGCGTGAGGAGGGCGCTCGGAGAGAGCAGTACCTGGCGTGCCGCCCGTCCCGGGCTCGCTGTCCCACCACGGCTCCTCCAGCGTGTCGCCCATGCCGCCACCAACGCCGCCGCGCCTGCGCACTGCGCGCGGGGCCGGGCCGGGCCGGGCCGGGCGGGCGTGCCCTGCTCTGCCGGGGCCCGGCGCTGCCCCGGGCACGGCCGGTGCCGTAGCTGAGATTGCTTCTTTCGCAAGAGTCTTCTGAAAGAGAAGGCGGCTTTTAAATACATGCTGTGAATCTCTTTTCCTTTTCCCCCTTCTATCTTTTTTTTTTTTTTAGTGGAAAATACAGACGCGAGAGAAAGAGGAAAGGAATTCAAACTATTACCCCGTTCTTCACAACATTCGCTTAATTGCCTCAACCCGCTTGCACACTGTCAAATACCTCCTTTCTTGGCTGAGGTAATTGACGGAACCTTTGCCGAGGAACAGATAAGTGCCTGCAGGGGGTGCGCGTTGCCTTGGAATGGCTGTTCCCGGCCCTTTGGCAGCGCAGCCTGCAGGGCGAGCGTGCCCATCCTGGATCCCTCCCCGCAGGAGCCGTCCCGCTCAGCCTGGCCGTGACCGGCTGGAAGCACATCCCGAGTCCAGCGCTTCTGGAAGTGAAACAGACCGGTGTAAGGACTGGAATCCCCCGTAAGGCGGCACTGTTATTCCGTGTATAACCCGCTACAATGTTTTTTCTCAACTTCTATTGAAGTATACTATTTTTCCCCCCTTTGAGGATGCAGGTGGGTAAGGAATGTGCATAACAGAGAGCATTAGTATTGATCTGCGCAGGGTTGCTAATGGACGTCACCAAGTGATTTGCAGCTCTTGGAAACTGCGTGAAACTTGTCAGTTTCCGCACTCGCGGAGTACGTCCAACCTGTGGCACATTAAACACTGTAGGGGAAGTCACTTAATAATCAAACCCACATCAGGCAGAGCGGTTCAGCTTTATGAAAACCGAAAACATTCGAATCTCCGGCAGAGCGACTCCTCCGCCCTACTCCAGGGGCGCTGCGCGGCCGCTCCCTCAGAGGCCGCCCCTGCCCGGCTTCCGCGCTTTGCGGCCCGCGCCCTCAGCCCGGCGGCCGGGAAGGCGGGGACGGCTCCGGGAGGAGCGGCCTTGGGCAGGGAACGCCTCCCGTGCGCGCTTTACGGCCGGGCGAGCGGGCACGTCAACAGCTATGGCGGAAGGAGAAGAGACGCCGCCGCCGCCGGGCAGCTGGTGAGTTATGGGGGTGTGGGCGCCCTCCGTGCCGCTCGCCTCCCTTCCCTCCGCGGCGGAGACAGCGGAGAGAGGCTGAAGGGCCCCGCCCGCCGCCGCTCTCCCCCCGGCACGCGCCGCGCTGGGGTCGCGCTGGGAGCCCGCCAGGAGCCTCCGCAAACGCCGCCGGTGCTCGGCGGCTCCGGGTCCCCGGAGAGGAAGGGGCCCGTCAAAACACGGGCGAGACACAAAACGAGGGCCGTGCCCAGCCTGGAGCCAGGCGGTCGCTCCAGTTTAAAATGACAGCTTTAATATGCGGTAGGAGCTGCTCCGGGAGTCTGCCTGGAGTGGAGTTGCTTTGTTCAGTTCAGCTTCCCGTCTCGCTGCATTCCTGCTCGCAGGAACAGGTGACAGCAGTGGGTCCTGCCTCGTTTTCTGAATGATTTTGCTCCCCACCTTGCTTTAGCACAGCTGTTACTTATAATGGATTTTACGTTGAACCCCTAGGACAAGAATAGAGACTATTTCTGGAGCGTGTATAGGATCATTTTGATGGTAAAAGTGATGTGATTTTAGTATTCGTTGCATGCGTATTCACTCAAGATTGCCGAGGCTTAAATAAACATTGTGTTTAAACACTGAAGCTATTCTTACTGCACCCAGCATCTCCATTTGCGTCTTCACTTTGTTTTTGTCTTTGCGCTTCTGCATTGCATGTGATTTCTTTCTGTGGCTCTGTGCCACACCATTGCTCTTTGTCCTTTCCACGTATATGCTTCTCAAGCAATTACTTTAGAGATCTGCTTTTTATGATCATTTCCACTCTTGAGTTCCAATAATTTCCAAGGTTTTGCTTTTAGGTTCTATTTGATGCGGCAGATTCAAAGTTTCCTGTGCTTGGTTATGTCACTGTAAAGAAGCCAGAACACACACACAGGTGTAGGTGTAAACTTTACTTTGTCTGGTTTGGTTCTACAAATACACCTCTTGGTTAAAACAACTTTGTATAATTAACTAGAAAATGGAAGTTAGTTGGTGTCACTTTTTATTCTTGGGTTTTTTTCTTTTAGTTATAGCCTCAAAATTTATGAAGTTCTTTCTATAAGCACAGTGTTGGATAAGCATTATTCTAAATAAAGGCCTGACTGTTGGGCCATTTAATTACAAAGCAAGGGATGGACTCTATGACAGTGCCCTCTCAACACTTTGAAATATAACCCTGGATATTAAATAAGAACCATACCTCAAATACCTCTGAAAAAAATACTTGAGATGACTTCCATTACTAATATTGGAATAATATTGCTGTCTCCCAGATCACAATCAACTTCTCTAGAATTTCTGTTGAGAATGAGGATGAGTGTGTTTCCACTTTCAAGGCACAGCCTGCATTGTTGATATTCTGATTGGCAGCTTCAAAACCATAGTCAATTTTGTATGCTGATGGTACTAGAAAATGCAAACTTGAAGGCATTTGTTAAAACAAGTTTAAGTCTTTAAGTCTTAAAGTGTTAAACTGATTTAACACTTTATGGGAACAATTAAAAAGTTTTATGCTTAAATGCTATATTAATATGTGACAGTGCATCCTGTTACTAGAGGTGTGTGCTGTGAATGACAAAATTGCATTCCTTATTGCTTGCTTAGAAACTTCACGTGGCTTTTGGGTTTGTTTTCCTGTTTTGGTTTTTGTTTAAAAACCAGTTTCAGTGGAGTATTTGCTTTTTCATTTATGGATTTAAAGCATTGTCTTGTATTCATATTTCAATGCTGTGAACAGTTGGTGTTGAAAGAGCTTTTTGATATAAATTACTACACTGTCATATTTTGACGTATATAAGATTTCAAATTTTAAAAATACCTGAACATATAATGACACATTTGTATGCCTGAGCTCTATTGGGAGCAAAACTGGCAGTGCTGATCCTGTGTCCTCTCTTCACTTCCTTAGGAGGATTAAAAGGCAGATGGAGTCTTGTGCTCAGAGGCTGTTACAGCACCTTGAGTGTGATGAACCCAGATGTGCTCTCTAGCATAAAAGTCCCTATTTGTTTTCCCTGTGTTAACTTGTCATGTGGTGCTAGTATGAATGGTTTGGATGGGGGAGAAGTGTCACAAACTAATTATTAATTAAACCCCACAACATCTCTGCTGATTGCTTGGTGTTTTGCTCAACAAAAACCAGGGAACTTTGCCACTGCACAATTAAAATTAAAAAGAAAACCCAGCATCACCACCACGCCAAACTTAGGTATAGAGAAAGATGAGAGTGTAGTTTTTTTTCTTCAGTAAATATAAGAAACTGTTTTAACACTTTTGATTTAAAAATGAGCAAAATCAGGTAGACCTTGTTTGCTAAATGTTTCTTTTGAGTTATTTGGCATATACTCCAAAGCTAATTTGAGAAATTGCCAGCGCTGTTTTGTTCTGGAAGACATATCTGTCCAAAGCTAAGAATGCTGTGAAACACAAAGGAGGCAGGCTGCTTTCAAACTGCTGTAAAAAATTTTTTTTGTCTGCTTATTTATTTTAATCATAATTTCTGTCAATGCAATACATCTAGTCAGTAGACTGTATAGACACAAATAAGATGGCTTGTTGTTAGTTAAAATGTTTGTAGTTGGAAGTTATAGATTTTTCTCGCCTCATTTATCAAGGAAATCGATGATTTGGACCTTATTTGTCTTGTTCAGATTTTCAAACAGATTAATGGTTATGAATTAATTTCTAAAACCTTTTTGCAGATGTTTGTTTAATACTCAAGCTTCAGGAAACTTGATCAATTAGTAATTTTTAAGATCTGTACTTGGGAAATCAGAACCTGAAATAACTAAATATAACTGCAACCACAGATGGAATTGTTCCTGTACATTTAACTTTGGAATAACTCATTTCAAGGGTCTCAAAATGCACTGCAACTGCCTAAGACAACAGGGTGACAAACCTAGTTTCCATGTATCCTTCCAATTCTTACAATCTGGCTAATTGGTTCTTGGAGCCTTAGTATTTCTTCTGAAAGCCCATGAACAGAAAACTCCTTTCCAGTTAAGCATGAAATTGAAGAAAAAATGTCAGGGAATTGTTTTTCTCCAGAATCCTATTGGAGAATAAATGATGGTTCAGTGGTGTGCTGGATACAATGGATATTTTGAAGCAAATGTGAGGGATTGATTTTTGTTTGTTTGTTTTCAGTAGAGAACAAACACTCATTAATTTCAGTTCAATATAGCTCTTGTTGAGGCTTTTACCTGGGAGTCAGGAAAATACTGAATTAAAAATAGGAACTGTAGTAATACCTTCTATAAAAGTATGAAATTGATTGTAGTATTCTTAACACTTTGTGTAGTTTATTGATCATTTACTATTATCTTTTTCCTACTGTTCACACTCCCACACTTCTAATCCCTTCTCTACTATTTATGAGTGATTACCAAGTATCTCAGTATAAATAATACTTAGAAAAAAATACTTAAATTGATCAACTGTTGGGAATTCAGCTTTTCTTGCCACTAGCTTACACATCTTAAGTTAAAAAAGGACCTGTTTAATGTCTGTGAATACAGCTATTTATTGATTATAATATGTCACCAGACTGCATGAATGTAGGAGATCCTTCTGTAAGCATGGAAATTTAGTGCAGATGCACTAATAGAAGCATTTTGTATTATGATATTTTGAACAGTACATCATGTGGGAATTTACCTTTCATGCCATGGCTTTGGTGTAGGCTGGAATTCCACACATCTAACCAAGATTTTGAGTGGCACCTAGAGATGGGCAGTGAAACCATGGCAGAGCAGAAAGTACAGATGTTCAGGTCTGGAGGAATTTTTGCATGGGGAGAAGTACTGCTTTCTGTTCAAAATAAGTGTAATCATTATCCATGTGAACAGAAGACTTCCTAGCTGCTCTTCACTCATGAAAGACAAGGATCCAGATTGCTAGCAATTCAGTGGAATATTTATAGAACAACTGACAGAAATAAGTTAAACACATGTCCACTCGTGTTTTAAGTGTTGAAATCACTTTCATGTTTTGTACTTTGCAAGTTAACCTGAACAGAAAGTTTATTAGAAAAGAATTTACTTAATATTTGAGAAGTCCTTTCTTACAGTCTGTGAGCAATCTTGCAGCTGATGGAGGAAATGAGCACCTAATTGAATCACAGCAGAACAAAGCATTTTCCATCCCGCTGTTATTTCACTTAACTCCTTGTTGGTAACGCATCACATGGCAGATGGACATGTCAGTGCCCTGCTTTGTGAGGTGAAGCAGTAAAAGTGGCATTTGTCTCTCATCTTTACAGTGTAGAAAGTGGGGGTGACAGCACTTGGAGGAAGTTTTTGCAAGTGGTAGGATATTGTCAAGCAGCAGAAGCACACATTTGCTGATAACATGTTAAAGTTGGTGTTACATGCACAGCTTCTTGAATGCTGGATATTAGTAACTAGTAGAATTTGTACTTGTGCATTTGTGAAACATTCTTTGCCAGGTGATTCTGTAATTAGTGTACATGTAGTTTTAAGTGTTGTTTCAAGTAAAAATTACTTTCTTGTTCTCAAAATAGTTTCTTTGGGTGGCATAGAAACAAAGTTAAAGTATTATAATTTAAGACCTTTCTACTTGAAATGGAACGTGTACAGAGCTGTTGCATTCATTTCCACATGCCTGTTTAATACTTGGGTATAGGTGTAGCAGCTAGTTGTAGTTCAAGACCTGGCTGTTGCTCTCTAGTCTGTTTTTCTTACACAGTGTTCACAGAAATGTGCAGTGTGTCTAAGAGCACCTCATTCTCTCCAGCTGATGCTTGATGTTGGCTTCTGTTGAAGCTACATCATCCTAGAGTTCATGCAGTTCTGCTGAGAGCTGGAAGGTCTCTCTTTGTAAATGTCCTGGAAATACTTGATTTTTCTTCAAGTCTAACTGATTCATTCATGTAACTTTTCAGGCATTGAACATTATGTACACAACTGGGCAACAGGATAGGTAATTGAAGTACAAGTGTGCTTCCCCTCTGTTTCTGTCTCAGGAAAGGAATTGGCAACTTATGCAACCTGTAACCCTATACAAAACAGACTTCGGGATTTTTTTTCTTTTTTTTTTATAATACTAAAAATGTGAGAAAATAAGGCAAGTCATTCTCTTTGTAATCTATGCTTTCTTTCATCCAGATTTGCAAAATTACTTGGAAAAAAAATGGAGTTGTGCCCCAGTGTGCATTTGAAATATGATTTAAAATGCAGACCAAAAAGTAGTGACAAAGAAACTGCCTGACACAGTGCAAGGAAAATGCTGACTCTGCAGACCTGTAAATACTTTGAGAACTCTTGAGTAAAGCTAGCTAAGTATTTGCATACCTTGTTCCAGGTCTGAGATTTTAATCTTTTTGTCCCAGAAGATTAGAAATGTGTGTTTGAAGTTTTCAGGAGACCAAACTTGTGAACTTCTGTATCAAGGATTTAGTTGTGGCTATGTGGAAGTTAAAGCAGACAAGAGTTCAACAGCTGACATTTTTTGCTGTGGCTATTTGAATTGACTACATAGTAGTCATGGACTAATTGAGAATTATACTGATAACACTTTAACATCTGTTACTCCATGTGTATAAATAGATGTGTTATTCACCAGGAATGCATCTTCCTGGTGAATATCTGTCTTAGAAAAACAATCCTTTTCTTTGTTTTGCTCTGGCTATAAACCCCCTGGATGTGTGTGTAACTCACCAGGAAACTGAAGAAAGCCTTGCTTAAGGCAGATGTCAAAGCAAGTAGAGAAGAATTAAGAGGACATAGCAAGGGAAAAGTTTTGCCTATGGGACCTGTGTGTCACTGCCATTGCTATTTTTCCAGTGAACCTGTTTTGCCACTGCTCTGCTACATGATATTGAAATCCTGAAATCATCAGATGTGGTTCTCCCATTACTGACAGCATGGAAACATTGAACCAGTCTGCAGGAGCTGTCAGAGAGATTGTAAAGTAATCATTCCTGAATGCTGAATTTCTTCTTATCTATAACACTTGTGAACTTTTGTTGTCTTACTACAGCAGTCATCATTTGTGTTTGTCTTGTCAATTTGTGTATTTTACTACTCTCTATATTATTAACATTTTTGTATATGTTAATTCAGATTTGTGCATATGTCGACACTTGAAAGTTAAATGAATTTGAGTTTGACTAAAAGGTCTTTTCCTGTTTCAGGGAAGGTGAGGTTAAAAGCTGACTGTTCTAAACCTTTGAAATAAGTGTTCTGTTTTCTAGGCCATCTAATATTTTATTTAGAATAACTCCACCATCTAATTTAGGTGTAATATTTGTGCTGTGTGTGTGTGAAAACTTGCTGAAATTGAAAGTTGCTGAAAGCTGTAAACTGCAACTAAATTTGCATTTTTATGCTACATTTTGCAACCTTGTCACTTAATGAAAACAAAAAAGCAAACTTTTTTTTCTTGTATGTAAGTTGGATGGAATTACAAGTTGAAGGAGCAGCTTTAAGTAGAGGAATAAATAACATTTTGCAAGTATTTCTTTTTAGTAATTTCCAAGTTGTCTTATACCTTTGCATATGTGTGGGATTTGCCTGACAATAGCCTTCAGTCTACATAAACATAGAAAAATAGTAGAATTAATTTTTTTAATTACATCTCATTATTTTAGGATAAAAGATCTTGCAGACGCTCTAGACGAAGGAGGCTGTGATCTTGAAACTGTGAGAAACATCATTCAAGGAAGGCAGTTGCCTGCTGATCTAAGGGCCAAAGTCTGGAAGGTAAAAATATGAGTTTAAATCAAGAAGCAGGAAATACCTGAAGTTGTGTTTCATTTGAGGTAAAAGATTTAATTGCCAGGCATTTCTACAGAAGAGATGTACTGGAATTTTAATCTGCGTCTATGTTGAGTCAGTTTAAGAATACTTCTCTTTTTTGTTGTTTTTTTTTTTTTTAATTACTGAGTTCAGTAATTGAACAGCTGCAAAAAGACACAAAAATATTTAGAGGGCTTTCTGGTTTTATTTTCAGATTGCACTTAATGTTGTAGGAAAGGGGGACAGCCTAGCATCGTGGGATGGCTCCTTAGACCTACCTGAGCAGAGTATAATTCATAAGGATTGCCAAGACCTAATTGGTAAGTTCTGTGCATTTAGATCATCAGTTTGAAAACTTCTGTATTCTCAGTTGTCTTAAGACTTCATTCAGATAATTTAATTGAAATAATGTGTACATTTTGGAGGAAGATGAAAGAGCAGATAAAAATCAGTAAGAAAACGATAGTATCTTACCTGTACACAGACTCTGGGAGGGTGACATCATGGGAGTTCAAAGTATTAGCTTGTAAATGATAGTTTGCGTAGTCAGAAAGCTTTGTGAGATAAAAAAATGGCAATTGTTTTCCAAGCTCCATCTTTTAAAGCAGACATTCTTTATTTATTGTCCTTCAAGTTTTTATTTGTCAAAGGTCTGGTTCTGAATCTGAAAAGCTGTTGGAGCATGAAAATGCATATAGCATTTGAGAGAAGAAATATATTAAACATTTTGAGCTTCCAAAACTATTTTAAAGAAAGATACTTTTTAATAGCATTTTCAGCAAAAAATGAAAGGCTGTGTTTGTGCAAGCAAGGTGCTGCCAGGACAAAGGAAATAATAATCTGGTATGTTTGCAAGGAGCTGCCACAGGATCTGCTTGGCAGCTCAGTACAGGACTGGTAAAACCCCTGACATGATGCAACAGCATTGGTATCAGTGATCTATGGGTGGAAGCAATGCTGACTCATAAATCAGGATACATCTCAGAACTTCTATAAGAGAATCTTCTATTTTATTACCTATCATTTTATTTATTCTTGTGCAATTGAAAGTTAGGGCAGAGGATGGAGCTGGTGCATGCATACATACCTACCATTTCTGAAATGCAGTTCTAGCACTAAAATCTAGGAGTTATTTTCCTTCTCTCTGTCCTGTAAAGGAAAGAGATGGGGGTGGAATTTCCACTCTCTTTTTAAATCACAGTCTCTTTTCAGGAAGATGCAAAATCTTCTGATTATATTCATAACATACAAAATTAAGCACTTCAGTGTCTGATAGTTCTCTTTTCATATTTATTGGCAAATATTTTGTGATATGTAAGGATTTGCATTTAATTTAATTTAAATGTAAAGTTACTTCAGAAAGAAGGCTATATGGAAACTTCAGGTTTTTTGTTGGATTAAATGTCCCTATTTCAATGTTTTAGCATAGCAAGTAGTCTCCAAATTTTAAGTATATCCTCAGTTGGCATGTGAGCTTTGTTTCATTTTTCTGAGAGAGAAAGAATGCCAAACATTGACTGGCTTGTCAATATTCTTGATGGGAAAGTATTAAAGGCTTTGGAAATAAAAAAATTTACTAACAGTCATGAGACTCATGGTCTTCTTGTAACTGAGGGGGAAAGATGTTTCCTAGAAATCTAATGCTGCTATGTTAATGTAGTGTGTACAGGTCTCTGTTCCCCATCCTGGACATAAAAAAAGTGATTTGTAAGTTAATGTTAAAATTTAAGTTTGTAAGCATAGCTGATCTCAAACTTCTGATTTAGTTAAATTTACATGTCAGTCAGCTTTTGAGGAATTGAAGGTATGCATTGTGGGTTGATCTGTGTTGAAATTCCAATGAATTTGTTGTAGAGTTGAGGCTGAGTTGTGTGCTGAGCACATCAAGTAGGAGTAGAAGAGGAGCATTCCGTGCATTGAAAGAATCTACCTCTTTCTTTTGTGTAGATCCTGGAAAGCCCAAACTTCTTTCATCCTGTTGTTGTGTTATTTAAATTATATTTAAATGTCTTATCCTACTGGGTTTATAAAATCACTTGTATTCTGATACCTTTTTTAATTCCTTTCTGTAAGAATGTAATCCTAACAGCCAGCTTTTTGTTTGTCTGCTTTTGCTGGGTTTTTTCTCCAATCAGTCCCTATTGGTGCAATTGTGCTATGAAATAAATCTCGTCCAATTTCTTTGAAAAGCTTTTAACCCAGTTTGTATTACTGTGCTTATTTCAGACCAGTTGTCAGTGCCAGAAGAAGAGAAGTCAGTATTAACTTTGGATATTGAGTCAGTTATTACTTTTTACTGTAAATCACGCAATGTTAAATACAGTTCCTGCCTTGGCTGGATACATCTGCTCAAACCTCTGGTGCACCTTCACTTGCCCCGCAGTGATTTGTACAACTGCTTCTATGCTATCATGAATAAATTCATTCCAAGGTAAAACCCTTTCTTTTCCATATGTGCTATTTGTGTTGGCAGTAGAAGTATTATCTGAAAGATGGTTGGTTTTGGCTAGAGGAGCACTGTTCCTAGCTGTGTTGTCAGATTCTTTCATATGATCATAAATTTCAGTACCTGTTGGTTTGAAATCCAGGAGATGATTGGGTTGGCTTAAGATACAAAGAGTTAGCTGAGTGATGTGACTGATCTAGATCCAATATGCCTTTTAAAGAGCTATCCTTTCATGCAATATGAAAAACATTTTTATGAACTAATTCACCTAGGTTATGTGAAAGTGGTTTTTTGTTCCCTTTCCTAGCATTTTCGATATCTAAAATACTTCTATCCCTTCAGAAACAGTAATTGATAAGCACTAATGAAGTCTCAAAATCTCTACCAAAGTAGTTAATATTTTCCATATGTTCTTTTGAGTTGGGACTGATTTTGAATTTTTTTTAAGTTGCTAGATATTTTTAATGACAAAATTTGAGCTTTTCATGCTGTTATGTAGGTGTTCTCAAAGTAAGTTTTTATATATGTTGGAGCACCATGATGCTTCAGCAAGGCTGGATAGTCTGTAATTAAAGATCTTAGTCTGATTGCCTGGAGAGGAGATTCCAGCCTGGCTGATGGATATGTGCCCAAAATATGAAAAATGCACGTTTGCAGTAGTAGCAGGAAGCAAGCATTCATCAGTCCTGTCACTTGACTCTGCTCGTGTCCCTTTCTGCTCTGAAACACTCTTGGGCTCTGTGAGCTGTGTGGGGATAGTGTGCATATGGCCACACAAGCCTTGTGCCTTCAGCTGTAGAAGGCTTGCAGAGTTTCTGCTATTTGAGCTTCTCAGGAGGAATCTAGGTGATGTTTCAATGAGATGTAGACTGTTTCCTGTTTTTTTTCTCCTCACTGGGACAATGAAAGACATAGAAAGGCAATTTACAGGAGATCAGTGAATCTCTGCTCCGTTGGTACCATGCTGGACTTGTTTTGATATTTAAATCTGTTTTAAATATTTCTGTATTATATAATCTGTCGAGCAGTATTTCACTCTGCTGCCTTGATAATTTAGTGGGGGTTTCATTGTTTGTGAGTTTTTGTTGGTTTGATTTGATTGGTTGGTTTTTTGATTCTGAGGCAAATTGACTTAATGATCAGTCCCTGTGAATTAAAAGAGCAAAAGAGCAGTGTACAGGAAATTACATGATCACAGATACTAAAGAATTGCTACTGTAAGTCTGAAACTGCAATATTACAGGGGAGTTGATTGTTTTCATTGCTGCTTTCTAGGGATTGTTTTATGAAGGGAAGACCCTTTCATCTATTTAGACTGTTGCTTCAGTACCATGAGCCTGAACTCTGCTCCTTTCTTGATACCAAGAAGATGACTCCGGATTCATATGCACTCAACTGGGTAATAAAGTGAAAGTAGGGAAACATAATGAAAAATAAATTTCTGTTAAGATTTAAGTACATGTTGTCAGTTTATGGAAGAGTAGTACAAGCAGTTAGAACTGCATATATTAAAATAAATTGCATGTTTTATTATAGTGTGGGTTTTTTTCTTTAGTGTTTTGCATGAGGTATGAGGACTTGTTAATGTCACATTTTTTATTGTATTGGGTGAGTCCTTATTGAGCCACTGATACTAGGAACTTCTTGGAGTAAGGAAGAGTGAGAGCAGCTGATGTGCTCAAAAAGCAAAAAGTTAGTTTTGATTGTGGGCAGCTGTATGTTGTAGATATGGGTAACATCAGTCTAACAGATCTTTTAAAGCTGAAGAATGAATTGTTTTAGAAACCTCCCTGCTGAGACATATATATATGTCTTTTAGAATTTAGGCACATATATTTTACAGCTTTTGAAGCATTAGTCATTTCCTCTTCAAAACTGCCTCAGATTATATGTAGTTACAAAAATTCTCACCTCAATTATTTTTTATAAATTTTGTGTAGCAGGACTACAACAAAATTTTTGTATCAAGGCTACTTAGTATATGCAATACAAAATCATGATACTGTGCTTGCACAGGCAAAGTCTGTAATTTAGTAGAGAAGGCTTTGACCCATGAACTTTCCTAGGTTCTTCTTTCATACTCATTGGCTATGTAAAATTTTTTTTCAATCTTGTGAATTTTCAGTTAAAGAAGTGAAAATGAATGAATTATTAAACTGTCAGGTCTGTCTTTGGAGTGTTTTTTGTTTGTTCTTTTTTAAGGCTGCTGCCAATTTTAGGATAGAAATGTGTCTAGGAAAAATTTTCGCATTCTCAAAATCTGCCTTTTGCCAGTCTCATGAGCCTTCAAAAGAGAAATCAGGTCCTTTTTTGTCACTCAATTTCCATTTTTTAATACAATTTTCCTTAGTACATACAAAATTCTTTGAAGTTGTTTCTTCAAATTTTGAAACCTAATTAGAAAAAGAATCTTCTCTCTGAAGGTGGTAGTGAAATAAGCTGGTGTAGCTGCCAGTCCTCAACATCATGCTTCTTGGTGTACAATTTTAGGAAAAAATTTTAAGTTTCATTTTATATAATGAGTAAAATTCTCTGTTTCATCTGTGAACAACCTGTCTATATAGGTGTATCACTAATACTTAAAAGTATGTAAACATCATACTGAGACCTGCCATTGTCATCTTGTTCATGGATGTTTTGTCTTCAATTGCATTTGAGCCAGAATTGAATAGATCTATCTTTTGCTATAAAACTATACTAGGAAGTGTTGAAATATTCCATGATAGTGTTTTAAAGCTTTTGAAAGCTGTAGCTGTGTTGATAGATTTGTGAATGTGTGTGGAATTTGTGTGCATCAGTGAGTACAGTAAGACCCCAGTGAAGTCAGGTGGCATGCATTTGAGTTAGGTGTGATTGTAAATCTGGCATGTATAGTAAGAAGTTCCTACCTTTTATCTGCTTTGAATTTTGTATATCAGAGAGGATGTATTTTCAAGTGGGAGCATGGGAACAGGCAGAGTTTCTTAAATGGTAATGAAAATTTTCTGATGCTTGCAAATGTTTAATTCCTCAGTCATAAAGCATCATAATGTAATGTTAAGTAAGTGATGTTGTCAAACTAATATGCAACCATGTTCAATTAGCTCAATTCTGCTGTGGAAAATAAAAATAATTATGTTTGCAGGATCCTTTCAAAACCCTAATTGCTATGCTATTTGAGTAAATATATTCTCTTATGATTGTCTTGTTGGTATAATTGGTATTTAGCAGTGGCTGTGAGCTAAACAGTACTCCAGCTTGATTGTGTTATCTGTGCTTGAATTTGCAAGGCTGGCAGTGTGCAGCCAACTTTGCCTTCACAATAGTCATATTTATTCAAAGATAATCTGTAGTGTTGTGCACTGTTTCCATAAAAGTCGGTTTAGAGGTTAGAACTGTCTTTCAGTACATTGTGCAGATGTAGGCTTTATCATAATTTTGTTGGGTTTATTTTCTTTCAGATACCTTGTATCTCTGTTAAAAATGTATTCCTGATATGATTGTTCCTGGTAATTGCTTTTTCTCACATTATTTTCCAAATTTTTAGCTTGGAAGCCTCTTCTCATACTACTGTTCAGCTGAAGTCACTCAGGCAATATGGGATGGATATCTACAACAAGCAGATCCATTCTTTATTTATTTCTTAATGTTGATCATCCTTGTCAATGCAAAGTAAGTGTACAGTTAATTCTTTGGGACATTCTTTGCTGACATTGTTTTAATCCAGGTTTATTTCATTTTGGTTTTACTGACTTAATCTATGCCTGTGACTTTACTGTTTTCAGAGACGTTATCTTAGCACAAGAATCAGATAAAGAAGAAATGATAAGTAAGTACTTCTCTTACATAGCTGCTAGTGAAATATTTACTATATACTGTAATCCCCATTTATTACTATTTTTTATTGCTAAAGAGCTAGATTGTTAATTTCCATGTGATTTTCTGATTTTTTAATCCCTTCACCACACTAATTCTTTCTTACTTTTGCTGTCCTATCCTTGACCTTCTTTCCTTACTCCTTTTAGTGCTCCCACACCTATTTCTGTACTTCAGTTTGAAGTACTGGAAACAATCACCAGAAACTGGTCTTTCCAAGCCTAAAGCAACAGCTGGCAAATCCTTCTTTAAATCTACTCCACTTGTTGCATTTTCTGGATTTTCATCATTTGCACTTGATTTGAGCCTAATTAATTGTTTTTATAGAAAATGCATTAAATTTCAGTGGAAAATTTAAATAACTCTTGCCTTTGTATTTTTTTACACACATAATACAATGTAATTAATCATCTCTAGTAGTTTAAAATGAAAGTGCTTGGAATTTTGTGTCTTTGTCGTATACTGCAGAACTACATCCCTGGGATCCCTGGGTTGTCCTGAACAGAGACCAGTGCTACTGATTAAATACTCATTTTAAAGGATTCTCATGGTCAGAGCTCTTTAGAGAAGTAGCTAAGTTAGAATTGAAAGCTAAAACTATATGGGAGTAAGAATGTGATAAAAAATATTTTGCTTAGAAGTCTAGCAAAAAGTTTTCTATGCATAAGGAGTATTTCCTGTATCTTCACTTTTCCTCTGGAAAGTGAATCAATATTCATGCTTAGTCAATTCACTAGATTGTTATGCCTTATTAAAAATAAGTTCTTTTATGATCTGTGTTGTTTGATTTCTGTGTCTGAAATAGTGTTGCATTTTATGTTGTTTGTCTGTCTCAGAATTCTTAGAAACATCACCAGCCAATCTCGATTTAGAGGATATAGAAGATCTCTTCTCTTTGGCACAATATTACTGTAGCAAAACTCCAGCTTCTTTCAGGAAGGTAATAACTGTAATTTTGAAATTCTCTGAAATTTTGACAAATGTTTAAGCTCTTGCTGACAGTAACTTTGAATATTTCATTGCAATATTCTTTTTTTAAACATTTTTTCATGTTGTTAATCTGGTGGTATTTACTGTTAGGATCTTTGAAAGATAAGGTTAACTGACACGTGAGAGAAGCTTCCTTGCAATATTCTCACTTCATGACTGATAATCTCATTTTCCAAATGAGGCTCTTGTAAGAACTGATGAAGCTGAACTTCATATTGACACAATTGCATTGTAGTACACTGCACAGCAGTGTAGCTGTATTTGCAATAACAAAGAAGAAAAAGTCTCTTATCTATAGATAAATCTATTATCACCTGCACTGTTTTTGCAACTCTTCATTAGTCATGATATCTGACTTAGTGAATGAATGAAATAAAAGTATTTGGTAGCTGTTGCCCTGAGATTGTATGTACTTCCTCTGATGTGTGTAGGCAGATATGGGAGGTTTTCTTGTGGGGGAAAAAACAAAACAAACAACTAAAAAACAAATACCAGAGGCATGTTGGCATGGGGAAAGTGGTGAACAAGCATGTTTGTAATGGAAGTGCAGACCTTGCATGATTTTTCAGAAAGAATTTCAGTTCATCAAAAGTTTCATTACTGTGTGGATGGGATACACATGTCGAACTTGATATTTGCAACATATGGTTTAATTTTAAACTTTCACACATAAAGACAATGGCTTCGCCTAATTTTTTTTTCCTTGCCTTATTAGGACAACCACAGTCTTTTTGGCAGCAGCCTGCTGGGCCTCAAAGATGATGACACAGACTTGAGCCAGGCTCTCTGTCTAGCAGTTTCTGTGTCCGAGATTCTGCAAGCAAATCAGCAGCAAGGAGTCAGTATATTGAATTAACCTTCCCCCCCAGTTCTATAGAAAAAGGAAAGAATCAATCACTAACCACTAGTTTTAAATGCTAACAGTACAGATGAGCATTTGCTATTTCAGGAAAAATATTTTTGTCTTCAAGTTTTCTTCCTTGTAAATGATCTGCTGTCTTCAATGCATTTGTGCTGTAGCAAGGAGCATAGGGGAGCTGACTGGAATTTGAGGAGTGTGAGCTAAAAGTAGTATCTCACTAATTTGAATTCCTTTCCAAATAAAGCTGTTGTAGAGGAAAATTTAAAACTCACTACTCAGTACCTTTGAGAAGAATGCTGTTAAGGAATATCTGTCTTTTGTCCATGAAAGGTTTAAAGGGAAAAAAGAAAATTGAACTTGTTTCAGTAGAAGTTAATTGGAGATGTAGATGCAGGGACTTCACTAGAAATATTTAAGACCCATATGTGGATCATAATCTAGTTAGAGTGCAGTGTTTCTTATTGACCACTGACTTCTTGTTGCAGTTTCCAGGCCCCAGTTTTGTCATGCATAGTTTGGGTTTTTTACTCATCCAAATAAAGTTAAGCATCTGTTTATATCCTGTCCAAGTTGGTGGGACATAAACCCATCCTTATGTGCTGTGCTGATTAGTAGTGGCCTCTTGGATTGCCTCATACCCACTATGTTTCCTCTCAGTAGAAATTGTATAATTGCACTTGGATGATCCTTTCCCATGCACAAGCTGATGTATTAATGGAAAGCTGATACTAAAATCCTGCTGGTGGTCGGGTAGCTGTAGACAAAGTTCAGATTAATCAAATGAAGTAAGATTTTTTTTTTTTTAAACAGCTCTTAGCCCCTCTGAGCAGTTCCTGTAATATTTGAGTTAGTATTAAAATGTGAATGTAAAGTCTTGATTTGAATGTAACTGTAATTGAATTCTGTCAATAATTATGCAATTTTTAAGTTGAAAAATTTCTCTTTCAGGAAGGAGTGAGATTCTTTGTAGTGGATTGTCGTCCTGCAGAGCAGTACAATGCTGGGCATTTATCAACAGCATTTCATTTAGACTCAGATTTGGTTTGTATGCTTTTTGTTTCTTTACTGGTATTTGAATCTAACTGAGATAGAAGGGGAGAGAAATGCCTGCCTTGAAAAATGAAGTATTCTTAATTTAGGCTTCAGTCTGTGTACTGCAGGGTCTAGCTATGTGATGATAAGACTTTAAAAATAAGACTTCAGCTTCTCTAAAGGAGATGGTAGAACCATCATTTTACTGAGAAGTTTAGTCCTTAATAACATAAGAATTTGGGATTCCAGACTTCCTGTTCTTTGGTTAGGAATGGAAACCCATACAGACTAAAGACTATACATTGCTTGGAGGAGAAATTTCTTTTTAGCATTCTAATTTCCAGTGAAAGGTGTAATTAATTTTTAAAAAGAACACTTCTTTTCTTAGTCTCTTTTTTTTTTTTTGCCACAGCCAGTCTTATTACAGTCTGCTTTTACAGGGCATATATCTTGAAAAGAATTTGGTTGCTTCTTTAAAATTTTTGCTGTACAATATGAAAGTGCATTGATTTTGGCACTGAGATATGCTGTGAGTTAATAACTTCGATGAAGATTTTGTATGATTTTATTTGATTATGAATTCCTAATTGAACATTCAATCATATTTTTCTCTGTCCTTTTTTCCCCCCCAAAATCACTTCCATTTCAGCAGTGTATTCATCACTTCTGGATTAGCCCTCAACTATTTTACTTTAAGCAGTCTTTGGAAGCTGTATGGAATGATTTATTTGAAATTATGTCATAAAAGACTTTTATACCTTAGTTAAGTTCAATCCTGCATCTAATATCTTTACCTCTCTAATTAAAATGATGCATTATTCAGTATTATATGCCCATGTGTAAATAAAATATTAAATATAATTGCATGGGAGAGAAAAGGAGGCTGAAGGGCAAACTAAAGGAGGTTGTAGCAAGATGGGTGTCAGTTTCTTCTCCCAAGTAATGAGCTGTAGGACAAGAGGAAGTGGCTTCATGTTGCACCAGGGGAAGTTAAGGTTGGATATTAGGAAAAATTTCTTCCCCAAGAGGGTTGTCAAGCATTGGAATGGGCTGCCCAGGGAAGGGGTTGAGTCACCATCCCTGGAGGTGACTCAATTTATTACTTGCAGACATGGCACTTGGGAATGTGGCTTAACAGTGGAGAGTTGGCAGTGTGAGGTTCGTGGTTGGAGTCAATGACAAAGGTCTTTTCCAACCTAAATGGTTCTTTGATAGTGTGGCTTTTAACCTGGATCAAAAATCATTTAGGAAAAACTTTACCTGTCCTATGTGGGTGTTCTGCTAGTCTTAATTGAATATCATATTCAGTGTAGTAGAAATAAGCATTTAAAATTATTAAGTAGTACAAATAGCTGGTAGTATATGGAAAAGGAGTCCATGAAAACAAGTCTTAAATTAGATGTGATCAGTTCATATGTATTTAAATTGTATATTGGAATTAATGGTCTTTTATGGTGGATGAGTGTCACCAGGTTCATCCTTTATTGTAAAAGTCAATGCTATGAAAACATTATAGGGAAAAACCTTTGTGATGACAAGTCATTAATGGAATTTTAATGCATTTAATATTCCTGTATGTGCAAAGTATGCAGAAATTATTGTGAGGAGAGAGAATGGGGAGAGAGAACTTTGGAATTCACCTCATTTATAGTTACAGGAAGTGGTGAGATTTAGGACCTGTGTAATAAAGCAGCAGCCTTTATCTCTAGGAAAACCCCAGTTAAAATTCAGCCTTACTCACTGATGGCTAGGTTGTGTTCTTTTGACTTTGTCCTTCATCATTTGATCCACGTACAGACAAAATGATGAGAATCCCTTCTGGCCCCTGCCTGTCCCCCTCAGTCCAGTTGCAGGTCAAAATTCTCTTATGAGTTTAAAGAAGTACCTTCCCCACAAACAGAGGTTCAAATTCTAGCTGTGTTGAGAAAGTCCTTGTTTCTCCATCTCTTTCATGTGGAACTCATGTTTTTGCACACACAGTAGCCCTTCATGTATCCCAGCCTTAGCTTTTTGAGAGTACAAAGAATCACAGATACCTCCTTGTACTCTCAATTGTAATTTCTTTTCCTAAATCTTGATAAGTAAATGAGAAAAAGCTTAGTGGGGAAACAACAAGAGGAAGACTTTACTAGCATCTAGAAATTCTAGGTAGTTTATAGGGTTTCAAATCTCCCAAGTTTGGATGTGTTGTGCCCAGGCATGTGTAAATATGGAAACCAGTCCCACTGCTGTATTACCAAATCAGTGCAACATGAAAGTTGCAAAGACTTGTTCCACTATTACTTGATGCCTTCAGAATTAAACTAACAAATGTAAGCTGTGTTTCTTTCCTGGGGTGGGCAAGTGGGATGGGGAAGTGAAGGACCATTCACAGTGTTCTTTATGTAACATGAGGTCTCAGTCAGATTCTGTGTGTGTGACTTGCACAGTGCTGAGCTTGCCTTGCTTGTGCTCAAGGAATTGTAACCATTCTCAAAGTTTGTCTCCTTTCACAACTCATCTTACAATATCTTGGTGTCAAACAGCATTTTTTGTTTGTTCATTCCACAGATGCTTCAAAACCCATCAGAATTTGCACAGTCTGTAAAATCCCTGTTAGAAGCACAAAAACAATCTATTGAGTCTGGCTCTATAGCTGGTGGGGAGCATCTCTGCTTCATGGGAAGTGGCAGGGAAGAGGAAGACATGTACATGAACATGGTGTTAGCACATTTCTTACAGGTACTATTAAATTGATTTAACAGCTGGAGTAAAGGGTGTCTGCATGTGCCATTGATGGTAAATGGCAAAACATTTTCTCCTTAAAATCTGAACTGGTTTCTACATTACTTGAGTTTAGTTTTTAGGAAACAAACTAACCCCTGTTCCATTACCATACTTGCCAAACTCATTCCACAGGTTTTTGCTCTGATCAGAATTATCTTTTCTGTTGCAGAAAAATAAGGAGTATGTAAGCATTGCCAAAGGAGGCTTTATGGGTAAGCTAATTAATAATGAAATTTGACTTGAAAAATCCTGATATCTTAACTTGGTATTTCTGAGACTTTTGCTAAAAATCATCTAAGTGCATAGCAAGTAGGTCTCATTTGTAAGATTTTTGTTTTGTGTAAGTAAACACTGTGCACTTGCACATTTGTGGTTAACTCTTAGGGCTTTCCCAAATTTCTTAATAGTGAAAAATTAATGCAGAAATTGGAGAAATTCCTTCTCCGATTAACTGCTGTTATGATTTCTTAAATCAGGAGTTCATAATTGATTAGTTGACTTTGCTGGAAATAATCAGTCTCTACAACAGTGGAGAGATCTGTGATACAATATGACATTAATAACAATACAATAGAGGCATTATTAATAAAATGTGTGGTGTTGTAAGAGCTGTCTTCAAGATCAAAGCAGCGATTTATTTTTAATTGCTGCTGTATTCTAAATGTTTACTAAAATAATTAGTATATTAGGTAGATAAATAGGCATTAGATAATTAGATTTTCTTAATGCCTTTATACTACTGAAAGAAAAGCCAAAGATTATTATAGTGACTGCTGAATTTATCTATTTTATTGAATTGTGGGGAAAAAACTGTTACTGATGAGTTTCAGGTATATACAAAATTTTCATCAATAGACTAAGTCCAGTGTAATTATGAATGTTTTTAATGGCCTTTTAACAGCCCTCCAACAGCACTTAGCAGATATCAATGTGGAAGGACCAGAAAATGGATATGGCCACTGGATTGCTAGTACCTCAGGCTCAAGAAATAGCATAAGCTCTGTTGATGTAAGTGGAATTTTAGTGTAAATGTTACAGTGGGATGGGAGCCCTAGGTGTCATGTGTTTTTTTCTTCACATTGCTCATTCTATTCCATAAAATGCATTATTGCAAGTCATGACTGTTTTCACTTGTGTGTTTAATTTCAAACTATGATCCCAGTCAAGTCATAGGTGACCTAAACATTTTTATCCTCTTGAGGGGAAGAGTTTGTAGGTAAGAACTTGCTGTAGTCATTCTCCAGCAGAATACATGTAATAGACAGCTCTTTCCTTAGCTCTTATTCACTCTGGGAGCAAGTTACTATAAAGTGGCATACAAATTCATGGCAAAGCTCAAAATTGTATCTTTTCCACAGCTGGTGTATTATGTGTAGAATTTAGCTTTTAATTTAGATGCAATGTATCACTAATAGGATTCTTTTGTCTAGATGTCCATAGCAGAGTGCTCATTAATATAGTTTGTCAAGCTTGCTTTGTGGGATGATATTTTCCTCAATATCATTGCTGTTATTTGATAGAATTCTAAAGAAATACTCAGTTGTGTAATTGAGATTCTACTGAGTACCAAAAAGTGAATTTCTCTTTTGTACTCTGTTTCCTTTTTCATAAATTCATTGAGATGAAATAACATATATGGTTTTATATGATTAATCCTGAGAGGAGTTACTTTTACAGGGTGATACTCCTAACGGTTCAGGTGATGGAAAAGGAGTGAAATCCCTAGTGAATAAAATGACAGTTGCTTTGAAGACTAAATCTGTGAATGTGAAAGAGAAAGTTATCAGTTTTATTGAAAATACATCTACTCCAGTGGACAGGTGAGTCATTTATATCTCACTGTGCATTAGTTGGGAGATGTGACTTCCTATTTCATGTGGCTGTTTGTAAGTGAAAACTGGGCTAATTAGGAAAAAGTTGTTTCCCATATTCAGTTTTTTCATTTTCTACCCCTACCCTCCTCACAATTCTATCATGACCCAGGGAGCCAACTGTGCCCCTCAGTATTGGAAGGCCAGTGTGGGTCCCTCTTGCCTTTGATGTTTATCTAGAATTTGTCACTTAATTTCATTTATAGTCTGTCAATTTTGTGTTTAGCCTGAAAGTGAAAAATTATTTCACTTTCATTTCCATTCCTCCCCATCCTGACTCTAATGAAATAGATGAATGACAGTAGGATTCCAGGTAGGTTCTTTTGGTTGGTTGGTTTTGTTCTGTTTTGGTTTTTTTCACTGCTGCATCTTGGCAAATTGAGTTTACCTCTTTTAAAGATCTCGATTTTTTCCAAATCCTTTTGTAAAGCTGCTTTTCAAACTCAGAATCGATGCTTGTTTGGTTTTTGTGTCTTCGGGTACAGCAGGGAATGAGAATGTGCAAGTAGACTGAAATTTGGAAGTGGTCATTCCAAATAATTATTTTAACTAGATACAAGAATAACAACATTCATCTGTCAGAGCTTTAATGAAATACTTGTTGTAGTTCTTTAAATTCCCGCCTTTGAAGGTGTATGTTGAATACTAAGACACTGGTATTCAGGAATTTCAGAAACCTAGCATTTGTTTGATAGCAGGATTGAAAATACATGCCAAATGATGAGTAATTTTTAATAGTACCTCAGATCATTCCTTCTTTCTGTGTTGGAAAATGATTTTCTAAAATACTGTTACTACTTTTATTTCACCATTAGAGGCAAAATATTCTTAAATAATGTTTGATAGCTTTTGCTTTGTGAGGAATTAAACTGAATGACTGAAGATTTAAACTGAAAGAGGGTAGATTTAGCTTAGATATTAGGAAGAAATTCTCTACAGGGTGGTGAGGCACAGATAGCTCAGGGAAGCTGTGTCTGCTCCGTCCCTGGCAATGCTCCAGGCCAGGATTGATGCATCTCTAAGCAATGTGGTCTGGTGTAAGGTGTCCCTGTGCAGGGCAAGGAGTGGAACAAGTTGGTCTTTAGAGTCCCTTCCAAGCCAGGCCATTCTGTGAAATCAGGTAATGCTTACATGTACACCACAGGTAGCCTATGAAATGCATCTTTTAGTAGATTTTTTTGCAAATATTTATTTACCTCATGTCCAGCTTTCATGAAGCCTTGTTTTTATTTACAAACATCCTCCTTGAAGAAGATACATTGCCAATATAGAGAATTTCTGCTATTTATCTAGGTTTTTCCCTTAAATATTTTTAATTCTTTTATTCTGTCCTCTGCCCCAATGTACTGTAGAATACCTTTCAATATTTCCTGGCCAGACAGAGCAAGCCTGGAGCGGTAAGCTTGACAATTCAGCAGTCTGACTAAAACCACCTTTCTTGTATTTAGCATGGCATCACAATGTCTGTAAGCATTGGTTACACTGACAAGGTTGCTTGCATATTTTGATATGAATTTAATTTCTTGAAATATATTAAAACTGTTGCTTTTTACAAGCACTGGTCAAGAGACTAAAGGAAGAAAAAAGAATGTATTGGCAGTGCTTTCTTCTCTTAAGTTTCTGCTTTGTTATTTCTGTTCTCTTCCTCACTATTGCTTTTTATGGATTTTCTTTTAACCTGTCATTTCCTATATACATTTTATTAGTAACCTGTACTAGTAGAAGAAACCAGGAAAAATTGCTGAACAAATTATGGCTTAAGGTGTTAACAAGAGAGACTATAATTATGAAAAGTAAACTTTTCATAAAATATCATTAGAACTTAGATATGACAGGGAACCCATACAGAAATTCTGTCTGGAAGCCTCAAATTTTTATGCATCTTATCAATTGGTGATAGAACATGCTGAAAGAAGCAGACATGCTCATTACTGGGAAAAAAAACCTGATAAGTAAATATGCTTTGCAATTCTACCTCATCTGGTTCACATAACTACTACATTTCATGCAAATGTGGAGGCCCTTCACATTTGACTCACATACAGTGTCTTGTAATTATTTCAGAAATAAAAACTGTGACTTGGGTTTTTATAAAATTACTTGTGGTAATTGAAGAGCAAGAGCAGCTCATGCATAATCCCTTTCAAACTTTGGTTATACTTTAGGAGTTCTGTAGCTTTTGACCCACTTACACTGAAATGCACAAAGGTTAGTGCTGGATGAATTACTGAAAATACTAAAAGTGGGTTTGCAAGGGTTTTTGACTAATTTTTCTTTCACGTAATTTGTACATAATTTGACCTGAGAGTCACCCAAAAGCATCACAGGAAGATGTTGTTCATGTGAGAAAAATCAGTAGTAATGCTCTGTAGAAGAACAATGGGAATGGCCCAGTAGCACATAGTATGTTTTGTTAATTTCGAAATACTTAAGATCATGGGGATTGTACCCCACATTTTGTTGATCTGTTTCTAGAATATGGTGAGCAAGTGTTAAAATACCAAATTAAATATGGTGACTCTTTGATAACTCAGAGATGCAGGAATCTGTGTTTGTAACCAAGAAGTTTTGATATATTGAGATTTTACTTTGGTGATTTTGTTTATTCCTTTCACCCCTATTGCACATCTTCTTTCATTGGGTAGATGCAAGAATAAATTGGCTCACACTTTATATCCCTATAGTATTTTCTTAAAATTACAGTTCTTAAAAACCTAGAATGGCATTTTTTTCTGTATCAATTTAATTAGATCTACTTTGTGTTTATCACCAGGATGTTCTATTTGGCAGGTTTGCCACCAAAGGACATTGCATTCAGTTTGTAACCGTGTAATGATGGTCTTCCATGTAAGCAGGTTAAAGGGAATCAATTTCTAGTTTAAGATGTTACCAGGATTTTATAAAGTAGCTTTTTACTCTCTTGTCCACTCTTGTCCTGACTAACTTCATTTGATAACCACCAGTGAGATCTGCTTTTAGATCCTCTGCATAATTCAATTTGACATTATTTAAATGTGCTGCTTCTTACTCAATTGGTTGTGTATTACTAAAGCATATTTACAAAAGCCTCCATATGGAAGCACTGCCCTCTTGGATTGTCAGTGTCATTGATGCTTATTGTCTTAAACACTAATGAGCATGTTATTGTATGCTTATTTTTGTGCCATTGTAGCCCACATTTCTGTTTGTTTGGTTTTTAAACTTTTCCTTATTTTGTTTATATTAGTGAATTTTACCCATAGAAAATGGGTTTTTTCTTTTCTGACTTTCAGTTATACTTTCAGATATCCCTAAGTAACAGCATTAATGTACATGTTACTAAACCTGTTCCCTGTCCAGCTTGGTTCTACAGTAGCATTTAAACTGGAGTTTATGAATGTTCTTTAAATAGGAGCCAAGGCTTAGGGTTGGTAGGAAACATAAACACACAGTATGGGGAAGGAGGTTATTGAACTGGAGGAGAGGGACAGACAGGCTTTCTGGTTTTGTTTTGAGTTTTTTAAAACTGCTAAGTGTTGCCAGTTCTGAAGGCTAAAATTATGAACTGTTTGGTTTTTTCAGAAATTGCCTCAGTTGTTGCTTTCTGAACTTTCAGATTTTTCTCATTTTTCAGGTATTCTTAACAGTTGAGGGCAAGAGCTTTTAATTCAGCTGTGACTCTGTAATTGCAGCATTCTGAGCTGGAGCTTTAAAATATCTCAGGATTTGCAATTTTACTGTCACACATAAAGAGTCAGTTGTGTGTGTTTGTGTCATTTGATATGATCTGCAGAAACAATTGAAATGTGATTTTTGACAACACATGAATATCACACTGGGGCTGGGATTGTAGCAGTAGGAATTGTTTGAGCAAATATTTCAAGATTTGACTCAAACTGGAAGTAATTATCAGGAAATCAGGGTTTAGTCTACCACAGATGGTTTGTAAGAAACCCCACTGTGTAGTTCTTAAGCCATTTTGTTATCCTTTGAGGAATTAACCAGAAAAATGAATTTCCAGATATGTTAGTTGATAATGTTTGTTTTTTGCTTTATCTGAATTTGGCATCCAGATATGTTTTTGTTTCATGCTAGAAACGCAGCAGGTTGTCAGTTTTCAGGTCTCTAATGTGTGCTGCCATTTGAGAAGGTGAGCAGAAGATGTTTTTTTTTAAACAGAACAGTATTTCTTTCCACTCTCTCTGTTACAACAGTCAGGCTCCCAAAGTGACTGAACTATGTGCTTTCACTAACCAAGCTGCTTGGTGGGTCACTCACTTCTTCCTTGCAGGCTTCATGAGAGTCTCTTGTCCTTCTCTGTTGCACAGCTGTGTTTACATTTTGCTAATATGTTACTGTGGAACTCAGACCATCAATTTGGAAGCTACTTTTCTTCTCCTGTCCTTTTCATTGCCCACAGACATGTCAGCAGCAGTGACAGAGTAGGAAAACCCTACCGTGGTGTGAAGCCAGTATTCAGCATTGGAGATGAAGAAGAATATGATACTGGTACAGTAGAAATTTTTTCTTTTATCTAGATTAGCTTATTTAGACAAAGTTATTAAATTGCACTAAATCAGTGTATCTTACATCTTTGTCTTGCAATATGATACTTGTCTATTACTGTTGTTCATGTATGTTATGGTAATGCCTAGGACTGACCCCCTTCAAATACATAGGAGCAGATTAAATAAAAAGTAATTTGGGGTAAGCACCAAACAGCCAACAGGAAGATATTGAAATAAGCAGATTTAGGGGATCTTTTGTCTTCACTTGTTATTTCTGAAGTAAAGATCTTTTACAACACTGATCTCAGATGTGTAAGCTGGCAGTTGTGCCTTTATTACAACAGAAAGCAAAATGTAAAAGACCTGGTTTGGCTGATGTATCTCGGTTTAAATGTCTAGTATTGTCAGTTAGTGTAATGATCTGAATTTCTGCAATATAGTGGGAGCTAGATTTTAAATGGCCAATGTGTGCACACCTCTCCAATGTTTCAGACTTGGCTTTTTAGCACTGAATCTATTAATAATTGATTCATCTCTTGATATGCATGCAGATTGCTGTAGAAAAAAAACCATGCAATTTTTATTTAAATTTTTTATCTCCTTGAAAAACTACAGGCAAAATTGGAACACCACACATTTCATAAAGGTTTGTTTGGAGGTTTTTTTGAGAGCAGCTCTAACATCAGAATGGTTCCCACCTACTGTTGCCCTGGTTTTGCTCTGATAGTTTTAGCCCACTCCCAATCATAATCTCACAAATAACCCTTCTGTGCCAAAAGGCATGTTTGGCTTGTGTTGGAGAAACAAGTAACTAGTCTGAGAATCTTTGATATACAAAAGAAACAGTTCAGGAAGGTTAATGAGAGTCACAGGTTTAAATAACATTAATGACAAACAGTTGATCATCATCTGCAATAAAAATTGTGAAGGGGCAAAGTGAAATTATCAGGCAGAAGCTTTAATACTAACAAAATATTTCTCCAAACGCCATGTAATTAAGTTTGCACAGTTCTTTGAGCATCCATAATAGTGTTTTACAAAGTCTGTGTAGTTTCAGAAAACCAGCTCCTCCAAGACAGATTGTCTAGAACATGTTTTCAGTAATATTTTTTAACTAAGTTCTATTATTTAATATTTGCTTTTAAAAGCACTATTACACTTGGTAAGTAAGCAGAATCAGAGCAATTGGAATAAACAAAGCCAACACATATGAAGTGAAATACATATGATCTTGATACAGAAGAATACAAAAAGTGAACCTGTTTCTGAATAATTTGTTTAGTGAAGTTTTTGTGTTTGGGGTTTTTCTGTAGTAATTGCAGTCAGCTGGAATTATTGCAGCCTGCCCTAGGTGGATCAGCTTGAGCAGGAGGGTTGGACCAGGTGACCTCCAGAGATCCCTTTGGTCCTCAGCCATTCTGTGTTTCTGTGACATGAGGGTGGATTATTGGTCCATTTGCTTCAGTTCCATAATGTATTTTTCAGTGAAAATGTTTCCCAAAGTGTGTTTCAGATTCTGAATTGCAATGAAGTAAATAGTTTAACAAAGTCTAGGAAACCGGCTTTGAAAAAGGCTCTTTGAAGAGCTGTCCTGAATTATTTCTGGGAGTAATTTGTATGGAGTTAATATAGTTAATTGTGTTCGATAACTAGGTTGCCTAATTTCTTCTAATGTAACACCAAAATTACTATGTAAACATAATCACCATCTTAAGACATAAAAGCAGTATTTTGCAACTAAGAAATAACATGTGCAGGAGTTTTGGGTGTTTCACAGAGGTCTGTGCTGAAAATTTTGGGTTGGAATATGTTCTTAAATTTCCTTAAATAAGGATGTGAAGGCAAAGATGACAATTTTTGCTAATGATCCAAGGTTATATGAGATAGTAAGGACAGACTGAGTCTTTTGCTAATTGGCATGACTGGGTAATAAAATGGCACATGAAATTCAGTATGAATTTAATGCAAGAAAGACATTAAAAACCCCTCAACTACTTCTAGTTTCAGATCCAGTGGTGCTAGAATGATTTGGCTGTGTCCAGCTGCAGTGGGTTTATAACAAGTAAGCAGTCATTAACAATCAAATGCTCCGAAATCTGTGATTCACTCACACATTAAATATTGTGTGTCTTCTGCCCTTGATGTCAGAAGCAATGTTTGAACAGGACAAGGTTCAGAGAGGCATAAGTAGGTGAGGAAAGATGTGATATTACTTTCACAAAAGGCACAGCTGAATATAGAAGTTTTGTTATGTGAAAGAGGCATTTTAAGGGAGGAAAAGTGATCCACAAAAATAATGCCTGGCCTTGAAAGAGATCAACAGGTGTTCATTTCTTCTTGTGAAAGAAACTAGAAGCCACAAGAAGAGATTCTCCTGGACTGTAGTTGGCTTGCTTTTGGTACTCCTTGCCCAAAGATATTGGTGGTTTAAATGCAAAGGGTTTATATGGCTTCAAGGAAAGTCTGCACAAGTGACTACCATTGTGAAAGAAATCCATCAAACTTTACTGCATGGACAAATCAGACCAGCCTAAGATACCCCCTGACCTAAAAATGCTTGTCTGTTGAGAGAAAATTGAGAGAAATATCAGATATGCCTTTTTCTTTCTTCCCTCTTAAATAATTCTGTATGGTTGGGTACACTTGCTTTGAACCAGTCTAGCTACAGTGGGTTTAAGTGAATTGAAAAGTTGGTTGATGGGTGTGAATTTTATTTTTTTTAATGTTTTTCCCCCTCCATTCAAACCAGATGAAATTGACAGCTCCTCAATGTCGGACGATGATCGAAAAGAGGTCGTCAACATCCAAACGTGGATAAATAAACCTGATGTGAAGTACAACTTTCCATGCAATGAAGTAAAAGAAAATGGACATATGTTTCCCAGGTACTGAATTAAGTTCAGTGAAAACATCCATCTTGATATACATTCTAAAAAACAAGTGTTGGTCCCTTAACTTGGCCTTTATATTAAACCAAGAAATGAAAGTGTGAAACAAACTAGAACACAGTGTTACTGTATTTGCATTCTTGTATTTGCAGTGCTGTAGAATGGTAATTATGTAAAAAACCTGGTGTAAAGTTTTGCTTTGAAGAAGAAGGTAGTAAGGAAAATTGAAGGGGGAGAGGGGGGCTGTGCACCAGTAATGCTGGGGACAATGCCATGTTTGTTTTCAGAAATGGCTGTGCTACAGCACTCAAGGAAATGAGTCTGAAGTCTTTTGTAGAGCTTTCTTTCTTCATTAGATATTATGGAAGTATTAAAACTGTTTCTTAGATTCGGTAGCTGTATTATCTACTTCTCTCCATGTAGTTTAGTCATAGAATTTAACTTTCTAAAGAGCTGATATTTAATTCATTAACAAAACTAATTTGTGTTTTTCTTTTCCTTCAAGTCATCTCCTAGTAACAGCAACCCATATGTACTGTTTGAGGGAGATTCCATCACGGAAGGGCCTGGCTTACATACAGTCTCGACAGGCACTCAACTCTGTAGTCAAAATCACATCCAAGAAGAAACACCCAGAACTGATCACCTTTAAGTATGGAAATAGCAATACTTCAGGCATAGAAATCCTGGCAGTTGAAAGGTAAGCCATCTGAGTAGCAGGGGTGTAAATGGTAATGATATCCAGGGTGCTGGAAATCAGGGGTATGCTGTAATTCCCAGAACTGAGTTCAAAAATAATAGTTTTTGTTCAGGAATACATAAATCAGATGTGAACTAGGAAAAAAGATTTGCCAGTAAAATGATGGGTGTTTATCAGACCCAGAAGAGAGGAACTGCACCTACAGTGTTGGGGATGGGATGTGTGCAAGTGTTTTCTTTTTGTAATAGATCTTAAATAAAAATGAAGCGGACAGTTCTCTGCAGCAAAAGTATGGATTTGTGAACAGTGGGATTTAACAGTATGGTGGAGTTTTTTTTTTTTTTTTTTTTTTTTTTTTACATCTGACTCATATTCTCTATGTATTGTGCAAGGAGTCCAGAGCCTAAATTCAAAACTCTGATTCCCTGAAACCTGATTCCTGGAAGTGACCTGTTGCCATGCTCAGTATTTGCATGCTTAGGAGGGGGAAGGGGTCAGAGGGAGTGATGTGTCAGGCTTTTTTCCACTGCTGCAGCCTGCTGTTCTTGGCACTGTTTTAAGAAGGTTGCTGATACCAGCTGGATGTTTTCTCATCTTCCTTGGAGAGAATTGTGTGCAAGGGATGCTCTGTTTTCACAAGAGAGGGGAGATGAGTTTCCTTCCTAACTAGGGATGTTCTCTGCCTGTTGGCTCCTTAGGTTTGTAAAGATAAATTAAAATTATGCAGAGAACGTTACTGCTTGTTGAATTACTTAATCATCACCTTGTGGACTAAAGCAGATTGATCTAGAGCTATAGGAATTGAAAAAAACAAAAACCAAAATACCACAAAACAAAATCCAAGCAAGGACCTCTATGCTTCAGTCAGACAGTGCTATCTGTAGAAATCTGGAATGGCCTGACCTATCCCATTGTCAATTTTTCTTTCCAAGATGGCCTGTAAAGTACTCCTCAACAATTCTAAGTTCACAAAGAGAAAGTTTCGTAGTATAATCAGGAATTAAATGTTATTTTCTTATTATTTTTTTCATTTTAATATATTCCCTTCTTCCCCTCCTCCTAGACAGAAGAAGAATGAAAAGAATTCTGGAATTTATACTCAAAAATTTTATGGTGAATTAATGATGGCTTTTTCTAATTCTTTTTAAGGTATTTGATTCCAAATGCAGGTGATGCTACCAAAGCCATAAAACAACAGATCATGAAAGTATTGGATGCCTTGGAGAGTTAATAACTAAAGACTTTGTAGAGACCAGTTTATAAAGAAGAAGCAACCAAGATACTGTATGTGGACACAAGCTGACTGTTTCCCAACTGAATACTAACTTAAGAGAATTTTTCTGTTTGCTGGTGGGAGTGCCTGAGTAGCAGGCTTAAGATAGGGTAAATTATTATCCATTTCTGAACAGGATTTTTGTTTATTTTATTTTTTTTTTTAATTATAATTTTTTTTTTGTTTTGGAGAAGTGTTTATTATAAAGGTCAGTTTGTTTCTTTTTCTTGCAGCCTTAATGGGAGTGATCTGCATCTTTGCAAGAGCAGATGCAGCTGGGTTCATGTCAAGTATGTTAAAGGAATGAAAGACTCTGAGATACAGAGGAGTAATTGAAAACAATGGTTTTTAAATTATTATCCCTTGTAAATAAAATATCTCCATTACCTACAGTCTAGAAATTGGATTTTGCCTACCAGGTAGTATCAAAGACTAATTAAAAATTTAGGTTTTTGAACAAGGCAGATACAAATCTTAAAAACAGTTTTCACATTAAAAATGGTTACGTTTGGGCTGCAGATAAATGGAAAAAATACAAGCAACTTGTAAAATTAGGAGGTTTTTAAAGTCTTACCAGCTACTAGGCTAAATAACTGGAATTGGCTGTAATGATTATTTTTAAACACTAAAATTAATTGTAGTTTTTACTACAGGGTTGTGACTTTTTTTAATTATGCAAAATTTTACATTTCATAGGTTGAGGCTGTTTCCCTTGTAAATATGAGTGTGTGCATTGAAATGCATGTTTCATGACAGAATATGAGAGTTGAAAACAAGTTGCCTTGCTCCTCAGAAGCAAAATATCTAAGAACTTTAGATGTTTAAAACTCAGCACAAAAGTGAGTACACACTGACCAAAGGTGTGTTCAGCAGGAAGATAAATGCATAGAAAACCAGGGGAGAAATTCCAGTGCTGCATAGCTGTGATAAATGTGTTCTTAACCAGTTACCTTCATTGATTCAAGCATTTGTTTCTATTATTTTGAGTAACAATTTCTAAATTAGTGAAGATTTGGGAGATGGCAACTCTATGACTGTTCATCATAAGCTTTCCATTTGTTCAAGAATGGTTCTCTTGTTCAAAGCTCAGTACAGGAATGTTCTCATGGACAAGGCAGAGCAGCTTTGTAGACTGATGGGAAATCACCGAAAACTGTGAAATAAAGATAATGGGGATTAGCTTTGCTGCATGAGATCTTCTGAGTACTTGAATCAAAACCTATGATTTGGTACTTCATCAGAAGGTAAAACAAGTTAAACTGACCTTTATAAAAAACAGTTATTCTAAGTTATTTTACTAGGAATCAAGCTAGGGCACCTTAATTCTGGAACTAATTACCTTTTTTTTTTTCCTTCTTAGTATCTGAGTAAACACCAATAGAACTTGAACTGTTGAAAATATTTGCATGAAATTGCACCTGGGCCAATGCTCATGTATTTATAGTTTTGCCCAGCAGCTGTTGTATTACATTTTCCTCTTCCTAGTCCCTCCTGAAAATATCCTCAAGAATCTCTGACTCTGTGCCTACTTCAGCAACGAGATTTTTTTCATGTAAAGATGTTTGTGCTACTGTTTATAAACTACAGTTGTAAATAAACCAGTACAATTTGAACATAACTTGTTCGGTCAAAAGGCATTTAGTTGCATACTGTGTAAATTCTCTGAATCAATTAAAAGTTTTTCCTAAAGGTGTTTTGTAAGTGCAAGTGAATTTGATCTTTGGAGTGGAAGATGCTGATTATGGATCATAGGAAGCTACTGCCAGTGACTTCTTAATGTAAGTACTTCAGAATTTAAGTTAATTTCATTAAGGACTTTTGGGTGAGCATTCACAGAAAGGTCAAAGTGAATTCACAAATAATCAAGTTGTAGAAAACGTTTCTGCATAAATTCCAGACTTCTCAACATCATATTTTTGTTATGAAAATGTTGACAGAATGATACAACATATTTCTCCTAGTCAGAAGGGGAAAAGTGAAAATGACACTCAGTTGTTAAACAGGTGTATTGGAGTGTTAAATGTGGAATGTGGCTAATGTGTATGCTTCACTGTGAGGACAGCAAACACAGCAGACCTTTGAGATCTACAGCAAGCAACAGGAAGTCAGTTCTTAAATCCCTTATATAGAAACATATAATCCAAGCCATTTAGAGGCTAATTATTTGTAAGTTTTAAGGCAATGTACAAGTTATCTACAGACCTCTTATCTTAAAAAGCTCAGCCCAAATTATGAATCATTTCAATGGTGCTGGTGTATCTCTACCCACAGTTTCAGGGCCACTTTTGCCTTATATTGTACATACCTGTACCTGTACATGTAGTTATTGGTTTTGTTACAAAACTATTGCTAAGCAAAAATTCTAATTATGATACTGCAGTGATATTTTTTGAAAAGAAAAATCAAAAAAGTTGGTATGCTACTTCCTGTCCCTTTTAGCTTCAAGGATTTTTTTAAAATTATATTTGCTAGAGATGTGTTGGCTCTTGTTTTATTCTGCATGCACCATGGTCTATATTGTTGAATACAAGGTGACAGTTATGATGCAGGAGTGATAGAAATGAGGTCTGGAATAGGAAAGAAAGTCTTGGAGTAAACTTCCCTGCCAAATGAAAGCTCTTACCTTTGTGTAATAGTGAGTGTTGGTGCTTCTGTACTCACTGATGGCTCTTCTTTTGTCTCACAAATTCTTTTAGATTCTGATTTGTATGAGAATTTGTAAAGAATTTTATGTGTATTACCCACCAAAAATACTGTTGATTGCAGAGTTGTAATTTTTAATATTGCCTTTTCCTGTTAGCCCTAATACATGGGTCTCACCTGTGTTTGGATCTTTTCCTTCCAACTACATGTCACCTGTAGTTTCAAAAACAGGTACCACCAAATAAGCTTTTTCAATATAGGCTACTGAATGTGTGAAAAGTTTCCCTTTAGGGGAGGAAAAAGGTGGTACTATGTAACTTGTTCTACTGGCTATACTTAGTGCTTTCAGATACTTTTGGTTGGAAACTTGAAAAATACATTTTATATCTCTGACCCATGAGAAACTGGATTTTTGGCCTGTGCTTTGCCCCTTCAAGGGATGATACTACTTGATTTCTTATTCTTTTTCTTATTTGGGAAGAAGTTGGGGGACAGCTGTTCTTTGCACCTGGAGCCCTAGAAAGTGTGATGTTTGCAGAAGAAATTTTTTTTTTTTAAATTACATATGCTCTTTCTACCACCATAGGCATGTATAGAAAGAAGGGAGGCCTGCTAAGGGCTGCTGAAATGTCTGTTCTGCCATCCTTTGGCTTGGTCAGATTGGGATGAGTGGTTCTCTTTACGGCTGCCAGGGGCAGGTTGAACAGTTCTCTGCTTGAAGGAAGGTTTGTAATTGTTGCACACAATAGTGGTTGTGTATTTTACAGTTGTTATGCACTTCCCATCCTTTATCTCTCTGCATGTTTCCTGAAAGGGGAGGTGTGTAAGAGATTGATCACCCTGGGTTACCCATTTTATCTTTACCCATTCTGCCATTATATGCCTTCAGCTTACAGACATAATCTCATGGGAGAAATAGTGCTACACAAAATCTACAATTCTACAAACATGCTTCTAAAACGCCCAAGGCTGGAAAATATGTACATGAGACAGCAATGTTTTGTGCTGAGTGAAGGGGAGCACTTGTTGTTTAAAGCCAAAGAAGAGCAGCATGGTATGTAGTGTGTTGGTTTCACAGAGTTGCAGTGTTGGACAGGAGCCCTGGAGCTCATCTAGTCCGAGTTCCCTGCCTAGGCAGGGTCACCTAGAGCAGGTGGCACAGGGTTTGAAATGTTTCCAGTTAGGGAGAACTCACTGGGCAGCCTGGTCAGTGCTCTGCCACCCTCAGTGTAAGGAAGTTCCTCCTCATATGAGGTGAAACTTTGTGTTTTAGTTCATGGCCATTGCTCCTTGTCCTGTCACTGGGCACCACTGACATTAGTCTGTCACCACCATCTTTACAAATGTCTTTGAGGTGTTTATCTGCACTGCTGACATCCCCTCCCAGCCTTTCCTTCTCTGGACTACACAGGCCCAGCTCCCACAGTCTCTCCTCATAAGAGAGGTGCTCCAGACCCCAAATCATCTTTGTAGCCTCCATGGCACCCTCTCTAGTAGCTCTTTGTCTTTCTGGTTCTGAGGAGCCCAGAGCTGGACACTGCTCCGCATCTGGAGCACTGTGGAGATGTTTGTACCTTGGGGGATGCTGTTCTTGTAAAGAAACAGGGGGATGTCCCGGGTGAATGCGTTACCTGTAAGCTGGTACAGGTCCCTTGGGATGAGCCCCCAGCAGCCTTTGCCGGGCAGGGCGAAGCGGCGCTCGGCACAGCCGGAGCTCTGGGGGCTCCGCTGTCGCTGCCGGCGCTGAAGGGGCCCGGGGGAGCGCTGCCCGCTCGCTGCCCCCCGGCAGGGCGGGGTTGCCTCATCTCTGCATTTCGCACCTCAGGACGGTCCCGGCTCCAGCGGGGCCGCTCGAAGGCGGCGTGGGTGAGGGCGGTTCCGGCTGAGCCGGGCCCGGCACTGCGAGTCCCGGCAGCCCCCGCGGTGCCGGGCGGAGCCAGGAATGCGGGCGGCCGCCGGAGCCATGGCGTGTGAGTGCGAGCGCTGCCCGTCCCTCCCTCCGCGGCCCACGGGCCCGGCTGTGCCCGGCCCCGGTGAGACCGGGACAGGCTCGGTGCTGGGTCCTGGCCCAGCCTGAGGAACCGTGCAGGGAGAGGGGAGCTGGCCTGGCGCTGCGCTGGGCACTGACCGGGATACAGAGCTCGCCCTGCAGGGGTCAGCTCCGCAAGAAACGCCAGCGAACCGGGCGTGCTTCGGTGCTCTAAAACAAAAATACAAGCGTTTTTTGTAGTGTAGTGGTACAAATGCGAACCATTATTTTACTCCGTTGTGCTTATACCTGGTTGTGGCCTACATTGCTTTAGGTTTATTCTGAGAATTGGTTTGAACGAAAGTTTTGGGGTAGCTGGTCAAGGCTGGGAGCAGAGGTCTCTCCCTACAGCCCTGCTGCACTTTTCTCTGCTTTTCTATTGCTTCCACATCTGAATGTTTGTTAACGAAACTGGCACAAATACATGTGTTCTGTTGTGGCTGAGCTTCGGTTTTGCACCTTATCGAACTTCAAACCTGAGACAAATAATGTTATATATAAATATAGGAAATTACCTTAATTACCTTAATTACATTTCCTGGTGTTTTAAACATTATGGGTTTTTTTCCTAGTGCTTTTTTTTTTTCCTTTTCCTTTTATTCTGAAATGTAAATCTTTTAAGTGGCCAACTTGTCTGAACTAAAACACATTCCACAGGTGCTGGGAAGTTTTTGACAGATCCCGGTATGATTATCTCGGTGGGTCTGGAACCTGTGGTTACATCTGTTCAGAATACCAGATGAGCTTTGTTTGCTCAATAGAGCCAGCAGTAAAAGTCTCTCACAGGAAGAGTGGCAAGGGAAGCAATCATTGGCTTAACCTCTAGAAATTAGCTGCTTAGCTACTGAAGTAGGAACAAAGATGTATCTCAACTGCTCCTGACCCAGTCTCATGTTCACTTGAAACAGCTTTCCCAGTTTCCCTGACCACTGGGACTGTGTTGCTTCCAGCTTTGTCTTTTTCTTTTTGTGATCTTTGACTGATGGGGGAGTTTTCTCCCAGACAAGAGAGGTGCTATGAAACTGGGATACTTTTTTTTTTTTTATAAAGCCAGAGAGGATTGGTTGGTTTGTGTTTGTTTTAAAGAAAGCAGTTCTACCTGATCATAGTCAGGGTGTGTTTCCCTACAACCTGGGGTACTCAGAGATTAATGGAAGGAAATGCAAGGGGTGTGCACAAAACTTGGCTACTTGGAGAGCCTGCAGTTGTATATCCTGCTTAGTAGGAGTAGAAGCTGTTGATAACACTTGCAACTTGGCCAGAAACCAGTTTGCTGAGAAATTATCAGGAAAGATGTTAACCTTTCTTGGTTTTCATAGCCATTTCCAAAACTAGGTGTGAATTTAGGGATAAAAGCAAACAATTCCTTTATTTGGTGTTTTGGGGATCCAGTCCTTTGGTGTGCAACAAGATGGGCTCCCACAGTGCTCAGCAGCCTGGGAAGGAGGGGATGGGGGCACCTGTGCTCTCCCTTTCTGTACCATGGTTCCTTCCCCTGGAACAGGGACTGGGTGTTGCTGCACATGAGCTCTGTGATCTTTGCAGGGTGGTGGCCATGTGTGGCTCCCCTTGGCAATGCTGGGTTTCAGTGCTCTCCCTGTGTTAAGAGACTGTTTCAGAGTCACATTTAGGCTGCACAATGAGTTGGTAGTGGTTTGTGCCTATGTTTATATATTAACTCATTTGTTTTCTTCAGTGCTTGTTACTGAATTCAGATCTGGAAGAGTTTCCTGTGGGAATTCTGATGAATAATTTTTTTCTTTTCTGCCATCAGCCTTCCGCCTTGCTCTCATCCAGCTCCATGTATCTGCTGTTAAATCAGATAATCTCCAACGGGCCTGTGGACTGGTGAGGGAAGCATCAGCTAAAGGAGCAAAACTTGTGGCTCTGCCTGTGAGTGAAGATCATTGCCTACTTAGCCCTTGTGATTCAAACCCTTCAAAACCTCTTCCTAGTGTTATTAATGCAACACTATTAATTCCTCTTCCTCCCTGGATAGCTTAGATGCTGTATGAAGCTTCAAAATAAAACTAAAAGCTAAAAAATCCTAGGGGTTGTAGCTGGTGGGAGGTGGGGAGTGAAAAAGGGAACAAAAAATAGGTTGATCTTTTTTGAAGTGTAAGATTCTGGTAAAAGTTTTTGCTGGTTTAAATCCTAGGCAATGCCATCACTGATATATTCTGAATTCAGGTGAGTGACACTGTAGTTTGAATCTTTGCTGAGGAAATGTAGAAAAAAGGCAATTTTCAGCTAAAGAATGTTGACTTGAAGGTGAAGGAGGGTACACAGTAGCTCTCCTTGCTGTAAGCATTCCAGATACATGAGAAACAAAACAGACTTAAAACATATTTCCAGCAGGTCATTTGTGGCTGAATTATGATTAAGACACGTTTCTCTTGTGACTTCCACGTGTTGAAACAAAAATAGCCACTTAAAATGATCAATCATTTCTGACTTACTCTTTGAACTTTAGCCATAATTATTTTGGTGAATTTTCACACAGTGGATGTGCTGACCACAGGATGGGCTTCCCAGTGCAGCTTTGAGCTTTCCTCCTCTCTTCGTGGGGATACTTGTGTTACTCCTGTACATCTGACACAGGAGTGCAAAGTTCATCTCTGGGTGAACTTTGGGTCTCAGTTTTACACACAGAATGTTTTCTCTCCTCTGTCATGGGGAAGCATTGAGCAACCTTCCCAGCTCCTCTGTGCTAACGTGGTTCTTGTGTTGCAAATGTGACCATCCAGTGTTCTGCCTCTGCCTCCTGTGCAGAGATTACTGTTATTTACTGGCTTCATCATGTGTACAAGCATTGAAATTTCCAGACTTATTTAGCTGAGATACTCACTTTGCCAGCAAAGATTTATGCTTTTAGAATACGAGTTGTGGAACATGGGCAAGGCATTTCATAGACTTTTGGGAGATGCATTTTGTATTGACATTAGGGCATGGGCATGAAACATTGTCTTCCCATTGTTTTATTTCTTTGGGGGTTGGTTTTTTGTTTTAATAACTTTATACAAAGGAAAGTAACTCACACCGAGTATATGAAGATGGAGGCAGCTGGCTTTGCTTTCACTTCTTTGAAGTTCAGCCCAGATTTCAAAAGCCTGGGGAGCTCATTTTGACAGCTTGCAGAGATTTCCCTTCCTGCTTCTTCCATCTACAGGTTGTGCTGTGGGTTAGCTGGGCACTGCTGGCCTAGTGCCCTGTATAGGGGGGAAAAAACCCTTTCCAGCTTGGATTCATTTGTTCCACTTCAGCAGAACCTACCTCAGTTGTTAAGAAGTTTGCTTGAGCAGATAAAGCAGAAGTGTTTATTGTGCTAGTAACAGCTTGATTTTTTTTCCCTTTTTCTTTGTGGGGGTGGAGGTGTGTTTGTCACTTCTGGTGAGCAAAGGGAACAATGGAGGTGTCTGGGCTGGAAATCCCTTTCTCACAGAGAGAAGAGAAGCTGCTGCCACACTTTGATAGCCTATCTGTGGCCTCCAGCTGCACTCCTTCAGGGTACAAGAAAGTGTTGGGTGGAGTGCCTCACTCCTCACAGAGCTGGAAAGGGTCATGCTGAGTGAAAGTTCCTCATATCTTGGGCATCTCAAATACCTCTAGCCCACCTATTTTAGGCATCTGATCTACTCGGTTAATCTGACTGTGCAAAGATTACATGCCTGGTTCTAAAGGGGTGGCAAATCTTTAATGAGGGCCTAAGCTGGAGGACACTGTTCAGTTGTGAGGAAATAATGTTTAAAGGATTGTTTTAGCAAAACAGTAAGTAATTTTGAGAAATGCATGCTTTTGCAAATGTCCTTTTAAAAAATAAGAAATAATGGGCTGTGGATGAGCATTTCAGAATTTTGAGAGGATCTACTAGCTTGTAACTTTTCGAATCAGAACTGTGTAGAACTTGGCTCCTCATTCTGGTGTGAACATCCCCTGTGTTCTTGCTAAGCCCAGAGCAGTGAATGTGCTAGCCTTACAGCTTGCATGGTAGTCCTAGCTCTTGTTCTATTTGGCATGCACTCCACAAACACACCTGTTGTGTTTTCAGCAATTGTTCAGGTCTCTCTGGCCTTCCTGGTTCACTTACTGAGCTCCTATAAACTAAACTGTAAGCAAAGCTTCTTTGAGAACATGGTTAGAGAGGAATTGGAAAAGTTAGGTACATCTCATTGTAGTGGTGTTACTGGATTTTAGTTTCTTTTTTTTTTTCCCCATCTAATCCTAGGAATGCTTTAATTCTCCATATGGAACCCAGTACTTTAAGGAGTATGCAGAGAAGATCCCTGGGGAGTCAACACAAAAGCTGTCAGAAGTTGCAAAGGAGTGCAGCATATATCTCATTGGAGGTAGTTTATTCTTGGTGACCTTCTCACTGGGGGAAAAATGGGCAGTGTCTATTACTGCCATTGGATCAAAATTGCATAAAAAATACAGTGGGGGAAATCTCTGTTCTTGCCTTTACAAAGGATCCATTCCAGAAGAGGATGGTGGAAAGCTCTATAATACATGTGCTGTCTTTGGGCCTGATGGTGCTCTTCTGGCAAAGCATAGAAAGGTAAGATGGCAGAATATTGTTATGAAAGGTTTTCTCAGCAGTGTTGCACAATTTATTTCATCTGTACTTAAAGGAGGTATAAGTTAGTAGAATCTTGTATTAATAATAAGTTGGGTACCATCACCCATGAAATTTCATGTAACTTTTATTTGGGGTATGTAAACACCACTTCGAAAGGTGTTCATAAATTTGTTCTGGGTAAGGACGACAAAATACTGGAAGGTGTAATTGGCTTTCCCCATATGCTGGGAAAACCATGGGAAAGAGTAAAACCTGATCCAACTCGTGTATCTCTGTACCCAGGCCTAAGTCTAAAACACAGTGCCACTTGAGTGGGATCAGGATTTTCCCTCAGCTTCCTGATGGATTTAGTCCTTCTGTTATAATAAATACTGTTCTTTACATACTTGGTGCTAAACATGTGATTAGTGCAGACATGCAGAGTCCAAGTTAAGCTGTCACTGCTGTTTGTAGTGGATATTTGCTGGCTGTCATCTTCCACCTCCATCTTCCACTATTGCTTTGTGCCTTCTGGGAAAAACTGCCTCCCATTTATAACTCCAGAGTCTGTTTCTCTTCGTGGAGCTGTTCTTTTTATTCTTATCCCCACTTTCTGTTCATGGGACTGTGCAGACAAGGATCACTCCATGAGTGAGCAACAGCTTATTTCTTTTAAGGATAATAGATAATGCAGGGTTACTTGGAACAAAAAGATAATGCAGGGTTACTTGGAACAAATAAGGTGGTGCAGGGTTACTTGGAACAAATAAGGTGGTGCAGGTGTTAATTTATTCTGTTTGCTGATTCTACATTAGCATTGCTTACTACATCACCTTGTGCAGTTCTGTGCTGCCTTCCACCTGTCACAGCCCAGCAGTCTGCAAGCCCAGGAGCTGCTTGTAGAATGAGTGCAGGTTTGTGCTCAGTGTGAACAAATAATGAAATAAAACCAGCTCTGTTGTTAGGAAGCTCCAGTCAGGAACAGCACCTTCCATTGCAAGGTAGGGATGAAGGCAGCTGCAGGCCCTCAGAGGCAGCTGCATAGCTGAAGTCATTGCTCAGTGAAGGTATTTTCTTGAGAAGTTTTACAGGAATGGGATCAAATGTTAGAGACAAATCATGAGGTCAAGACATCTAGCTGTTTGGCATGTATTTTCAACTTTAGACACCTATATTTCTGTGTAGAAGAAAATAATATAAATAATCTTTAACAATCTTAAGCAATGTTTACTTGGATCCTGACAAAAAAGTAGTTTAGATAACAGTAGAAGGCACATGCCTAAAGAGGCTCAAATACCAAACAGAGAAATTGTAATTGTTATTAATCATGGTATAATTGCAGGTTCATTTGTTTGACATTAATGTTCCTGGGAAGATCCAGTTCAAAGAGTCTGAAACACTGAGTCCAGGGAATAGCTTCTCCATGTTTGACACACGTGAGTATAAAACAAGCTCTCTCTTAAAGGAGCTCTACTACAGCAACACTCCAGTCACTCTGCAATTCTCTTCCCCCTCCTCCTTTCCTGCAGTGCATTTTTAGACAATCAGATTGAGCATTTGATGACAAATGTAGTTTAAGTTTGCTTCAAGTGTTTGGGCCACTTCTGAAACTTTTAAAAAGGCAATGTGGTTGGAAAAGGACAGAGGAGTACAAAAGGTTGAAACATATGTCACCCCACTGCCTTAATTAAGGAATAGTCCTATTGATTTGTTAGAGGGAAGTGATGGTATTTTTAATAGCAGTTACAGTTTGAAAATTCTTCTTATAAAACGCAGCCTAGGAAAGAAAGTATGTAACAGCTACAATGGTGCACTGCTTCAGGTGAGGATAGTATAATAATGGAGACAATTAACTAAATCATTCCAGTCTTCTTGAATCAGCCATCTCAGATAAAAAGGCAAAATATCGACTCCTCCCCACCCCATATTGCTCAAAAGCTGACACAGTCTGTTAACTGAGCTCTCCAAAGAGTCTTGTCTGCCACAGCCACTTTCTCCTCCTTGCACTGTGCATGCTGTAAGAAACTACATGACTATTTTTACTCCATGAAAAGCAAGGAGTGTTTTCTTTTGTTGGAAAAAAAAATGAAAAAATTGCAGCTAAATGAGAGAGGAATATGTTCCACAAAGACCTGATACAACATGATTTTATGGAAATAACTTTTCTTAAAGGGTAGATAAGACTGCTTCTCACTCTCTTTCTGTCCTCATGAAGCATGAATTCTCCCCCAACAGTAGCCAGTGCTTGTTGGGCACACATTTAAATACAGCTCCTCCTGTTGCTGTGAGCCAT